TTTCTTCATATCCAGCCCCCCTCCCCTTCCTAAAACAAATAACCTCCACATTCTTCATTTCCCTTCCTCCTCCTCCTTATAGATTAATAACAACACAGATAGAACACTAGATGTCGTCTTTTCTAGATTTGGGGGTTTTGTTCAGAATAACTCTGAGGCATAAGCCCAAAGGAGGTCTGCGAAGGCAGCGTTGAATTAAAGGACAGAAAGAGAGCGCGGAACTCCTTTGGGCTTCTGTCTCAGGGTTAGTTATTGTTATGCTCCTTCTCCTATCCCTACATGAGTTCTGGATATTACCTTTATTGTACAAACATACTGCAAGCTTTTTACCACATATTTTGTTCAATTAAGCAAACTAACTTGATTTATCTAACATTCGAAATAGAATTGTGAACGCAGACTGTTGAAGAAATCGAAGTATTTGCCACAAACTCTGATTTTTTAAAATTGCTACCACGAAATTAAGAAATCGACAAACAAAAATTATTTTTCTTATTATACGTTCCAGGGTTCAACATTTCTGCATTTCTTTAAGTCCTAAACAATAAATATCTACAGCGGAAACCTCTCTGTGCTGACGTATATTTTTGCGATCTCTTTTAAGCCAAGTTAGGATGTTGTGGCTTCTGTGATATCCTACCTAAGCAAAACATAATTCGTTGACAAATACAAATTCTACGGATTAGTGCTGTCTGTAAGAATTAACTAATCAAAAGTTTCAACCTCAAGTATCTATTCTCTTCTGTTACCTTTGTGGTGATAGTCCCATCCCTATTCTTATCAAAGACTGTGAAAGCCTCTTTGAAAGTTTCCAGCTCATCCTTAAAAAAAAAACAATTTTTTACCTTAAAAAAAAATCTTAAAAACAATTTTTTACCTTAAAAAAAATCTTTAAAACAATTTTTTACTTTAACAAAATCTAAAAACAATTTTTTTTCTTTAAAAAAATCTTATAAACAGTTTTTAACTAGAGAATAAGAGAAAATGGAAATTAAGATGATATTAATACAATTAAGAAGACTTTCGATTTCAATTTTGATTTATATTAAGCTTTTTAAGCAGCATAACTGCACAAAAAATGGAAACAAAGAGAAGCTGTCAATTAAAAAAAACTTCTCTTTAATTGCTTGTAAACATGTAATTCTAAAAAAGCTTGTTAACAATGAAACTTCAAAAAAAACGTCTTCATTATATTGATATTTCGCCTACAATCGTATGAAAATATGAAATGATATTATAAGAAACCGAAGTCGAAAGTAGTAATTTTCATGTAAACCAGAGTAAGAAAGAGGATATATTTTTTTTAAATATGAAATTACTTAGAGATTGATTTTTAAAATGATTTTTATTATTGAAAACATCAACCAAAATGATACGATTAAGGGCAAATGTGAATGTGGGTTGGAAGGTTAAAATCCCCCCCTGTCAAATCTGGATCTCTACTGGTGAGATTAGATTAGAAAATATCCAGAGAGATGAATTAGCATTTATATAAGTTCAGACTCAACATCAGACTTTTTATATATTTAACACGTCAGCATACAATTCAAGGAGAACATCAAGGAGAGCATTCATGGAATTTTTTTTAACCCTATCCCTGCTGGGGTACTTGAAAACCAGGATATGATGGGGGGGTCAATTTGACCCCCCCCTCTAAATCCCATGTTTTATGTCCAAATATGACAAATGATGCATCATTAGAAAGCTCTTGTGCTCTACTTTTAGAATCTGCAAAAAAATTTGCAAGTTTGCAAAAATTGAATTTTTTATCGCAAAATCCTTTTATATAGTAAAAATGTTTGCAAAAAAAAATTTGTCCAAAAAATGAAAAAATTATACATTTTTGAAAAGCCCTTGACCATGCCATTTCAAATATGCAAAAATTTTTGCAAAATTTTAATTTCAACAGCCTCAGACCAATACTTTTTGAGTTATGTAAAAAAAAACTACAGGGGGGGGGGTCAAATTGACCCCCCAGCAGGAATAGGGTTAAAAATCCAAGAAAGTATAATAAAAAAATATTTTTTTTCAAAATTTACCTGAGTGAGGGATTCTAGAATTTTTCTACGGTCTGCTTCAGTAAATGCAGTCATTCTAAAAACAAAGTTTTATATATTTTTTTGATATTGCTTTTAAACTTATCTACAACTGTCAACTATCAACTAGCAATTTTAGAATTGATGTAATTATTATTTTTACCACTATTTATCCAACAGAGGAGTGCCGCGGTTACTTTAAGTCCCTTGGAACAATTAAGTAAAATAAAGAGAACTACTTTTTCAAGTTATTTAAAATACACTTAACAACGGGTTTCCTCAACTAATTTTGACTAAAAACATCCCTCCTTCGCTTTGTTTTTTTGCAAGCAAAATCGGTCTTGGGAACCCTTGGTAAAGTAAAGTTCCCTAAACTTCTCTGTAAAGTAGTTGTAAATAAAAAAAAATTACGTTTTAGAGTCTAATTAGATAGATAGATTCTTTTATAAAAAGTAACGTGAACGATATACAATAGTGTGTTTATTGGCCCCTTAAAACTTTTATCTTATTGACCGAGTTGTGAATCAAACATGTCACTCACAATGAAAGGAGAGCTGCATGAACTTACGTCTATACAGTCCCTTTAAGGGAGTAAGAGTAAGGATTTGAATCTTGTGTAATGAATATTCCACTCTTAGATACAGTATTCCTAGTTCAGGGTTCCACAAACTATGTAGGTTTATCAAGTTACACTCCTGGTACAACACTGGATTCAAATAGAATTTATTCACTTTCCAAAACAAGAACATGGAGAACAAAACAAGAACCCAGAAACAAAACAAGAACCCGGAGAACAAACATGAACCCAGAGAACAAAACAAGAACCCAGAAACAAAACAAGAACCCGGAGAACAAAACAAGAACCCTGAGAACAAAACAAGATCCAGGAGAATAAAAACAAGAACCCGGAGAACAAAAAAAGATCCAGGAGAATAAAAACAAGAACCAGGAGAACAAAACAAGAATCAGGAGAACAAAACAAGATCCAAGAGAATAAAAACAAGAACCAGGAGAACAAAACAAGAATCAGAAGAACAAAACAAGAACCCAGAGAACAAAACAAGAACCCAGAGAACAAAACAAGAATCAGGAGAACAAAACAAGAACTCAGAGAACAAAACAAGAACCCGGAGAACAAAACAAGAATCAGGAGAACAAAACAAGATCCAGGAGAATAAAATCAAGAACCAGGAGAACAAAACAAGAATCAGAAGAAGAAAACAAGAACCCAGAGAACAAAACAAGAACCCGGAGATTTTTCCGCGGTTAAAACTAAAGTTTTCTACAGAGCTTGATCGAAGTGCAAGAAATCATTGTTAGCCTATTCTCACAGTTTTTTTCTGAAAATCGTCCAGCCATGGATCAGTTTGTTCGATATATCGAACAAGTTCAAGTCAATTGCAATGGAGCGAGCACAATTTTTGATTCCTTCTAACAGAATATTCTCTGAAATTAGTTTGTTTCAGCTGTTTTGTCATTTGATGGGCATGGTACATACTAGAAACACTCGTTGTACAATAAAACAGCTGTTTTGTCATTTGATGGGCATGGTACATACTAGAAACACTTGTTGTACAATAAAACAGCTGTTTTGTCATTTGATGAGCATGGTACATACTAGAAACACTTGTTGTACAATAAAACTTTGTAATCTCTGTTTGTCTGTGTGTTTGTTTGTCCGATCAAAACCCCAGGGTTAAAATTCAGGTTTGAATTAAGTCAAAAGTGACATTTCAGCTGAAACTTGAAGTTGGAACATTTCGTTTTTTAGTTATAGACCCAGGAGCAGAAGGTCGAATGTATGACTTTGTGATCTCGTTGCTTTTTACGCATAAGAAATAGACAAGCAAATTTATTTGGTTGGATATCAGCAGTTCAAAACAATTACAAATTATTCTTCTCAATTAAAGAAGATATGATGAAAAACAAAGGATTTTAATCTTTCGTGGAGTTTAGTTTAGTTTGCCGTGATATTAAAAATTAAAACATTTTAATATATTTCAGGATTTTACTATACATCATGTTTCATGCCTTGAGGTAATNTTGAAATCAGTTAAACTATTTGAATTCAGTTAAACTATTTGAAATCAGTTCAACTATTTGAAATCAGTTCAACTATTTGAATTCAGTTAAACTATTTGAATTCAGTTCAACTATTTGAAATCTGATGAACTATTTGAATTCAGTTAAACTATTTGAATTCAGTTAATCTATTTGAAATCAGTTCAGCTATTTGAAATCAGTTCAACTATTTGAATTCAGTTAAACCATTTAAATTCAGTTCAATTATTTGAAATCAGTTCAATTATTTGAAATCAGTTCAACAATCTGAAATCAGTTAAACTATTTGAATTTATTTCAACTATCTGAAATCAGTTAAACGTATCTTTATCATTATATATTATTATATTTCTAATTTTAGCCTAGGTTTGAATCCTGTTCATTAATTACTACAGCTCTGAACTATCAGGAAGAATGAATCCTAAATGGCTGTAATAAGATGCTATCAAGCCTAATTTTTATGTTTATTATGTTAAGTAATCTAATATAAAAAAGCTCCCTTTTAATGAAATCTTATTCTTTATTAAATGATATTTTAATTGTGCATTTCATTCTTACTATTCTGCTCTGCACTATTCTGCTCTAAACTATTCTTCTCTAAACTATTCTGCTTTAAACTATTCTTTTCTAAACTATTTTACTCTAAACTATTCTGCTCTAAACTATTCTACTCTAAACTATTCTACTCTAAACTATTCTGCTCTAAACTATTCTACTCTAAACTATTCTACTTTAAACTATTCTGCTCTAAACGCAAGACTACAAGTCCGAAAAGCTAACTTTTAATCAAACTCCAAGCCCCAAACTCATCAAGGTTCAGCCTCAAAATTACAAACTCTAAAAACTAAAGTCTAAGCTTGTATTAGGGTTTCCGATCGGAACTCCGTTGCACGAAATTGCGCGCAACTGATCTCGAATTGCACCGAATTGCGCGGAGTTAACAGGGCTCGCAATTGCGTTGGAAACCCTGGCTAGTATACTGTGGATTCATAAAACATTAAGTTCCGGCTTTAAAAGTTAAACAATATTAAACTCTAATTGTATATTTGTGCATATGGATACAGAAGGATTCAAGAATACAAGGATACAAGGATACAAGGATAGGAGATTAAAAGGATTGAAGAAAAGAATGAATGAAGGATCGAAGGATAGAAGGATAGAAAGATACAAGGATACAAGGATACAAGGATACAAGGATACAAGGATACAAGGATAGGAGATTAAAAGGATTGAAGAAAAGAATGAATGAAGGATCGAAGGATAGAAGGATAGAAAGATGAAGGATAGAAGATAGAAGGATAAGAGAATAGAAGAATAAGAGGATAGAATAAAAATTGAAGGAAAGAAATGAATATTATCTATAAATCTATTAATCTTTTATTCTATCAATCTCTATTAATCTATTAATCTATTAATCTTTTGATCTATTAATCCATTAATCCATAAACCTATCTATTTATCTATTAATCTATAAATCTCTTATTCTATTAATCTATTAATCTACTAACCTGTTACTACGTGTACTAATATGGAACTACTGGGTTCTGGTGAATGTTGGGAGAGTAAAGGGAGGCTCCTCCGTTAACAGAAGAGAAAACCCTCTCTCTCAGTTCTTCTATCTTCTCATCTTACTCACCCACCACTCAACCAGTATCACAGATAGATAGATACACAATCAGCAACTGGTGCTCACTGCCCAACCTTGTATCATACACCCTGTATTCTGAAGTCTGTATCCTTTATTTTGTTTTTGGAACCATGTACGTATAATTGTATCCTGTGTCTGTAATCCGACATTCTGTATTTCAATTGTTGATACCTGTTTAGTTAGTTAGTCTTTACTATCTTCTTCACCCTGTAGTTCATAAACATGATTCTAATAACGTTACCCTCTGTTCCAACCCTTACGCTGAGTATCCTCCCTTTTCCTTATACTCCCTCACCTCCTCCTTACCTTTTTCCTGATTTATCATCATTCTTATGTTTAAAATGTTCAATGTACATTGTTTTTATCTGCAATTCTCATTCGTTTATAGTGAGCCAACCAATTAAAACAACCTACTCTGGTTAAGCGGGTCCAAACTACATAGTAAATTGTGATTTTTTTATTTGTATTATCTCGTGCTTTGTAGTTGAACAAACATATGAATATGTTTATTTGTATCATGTATTTCTATGAATAATTTATTCTGTATTTTTTTGGATCCTATATCCTGTTTCCTGTATTCTGTCATGTATCTTGCGCCATATTTTTGTGTACTCTGTTTGTGTACTAAATTTTGATTGTATTTTGTATTACATGTGCTGGTACTCAAGCAAATCTGAACTTTATCTAATTTCTTGGACACTCAAAGACTTTTTTGGAATTCCAAATCTATAACAGAAGTGTTTAAGCCTGGGGGACCGTGTGGTTTCCTATTACTGAAAATTTATCTTCTTTTTCTTTGATGGTTCTCTATGCTGTAATGGCACGTTTTTAAATATTAACCCTATTCCTGCTGGTCAAGTTACAAATTTTACATAATTCAAAAAGTATTGGTCTGAGGCTGTTGAAATTTTATGAATTTTCTTACATACCCAAAGCCCTCCCTTTAGGCCTAAAACCGGGCTTTAATACTAACTGCCTGAGTCCTCAGGCACACTGCCTGAATGACTGCTTTTGCCTGAAGCAAACTAAATCTTTGTTTTGACCCACTTTCACTTGTNCGCCCCCCCCCCCCCTCGTACGCCCCTGAATTTTATATTTTGATGTTTTTGTATTTTGTCTTTAAAGGAATTGAGTCTTTACCACAAATTCAAATTTTCTAATCAGCGAATCTTTGTAACTTGATGCTGAAAACCTTTGATATTTCAAACTAAGATTATTTGGTCTAAAAGAATTCTTCGTTTGAAATATCAGAGGTCTACGACATTGGGTTGTAAAACTGTAGGGATTAGAAAAGCAAAGTTTGTGGCAAAGACTCAATTTCTTTGTTTCAGCTATTTTTTCATGAAATACTCGTTACCGGATGATTAACAGCTGGCACCGTTAACAAAAATATATTAATAAAATTGAGATCGTTCATGAACGGAAACTTTGAGAAAGAACGGAAAATGTTACTGCAGACATTTAGAGATGAGCATTGTTTTTGTTTTAACGAAAATTTCAAAACAAATGAAATTTTCGTGAAATATGTGTTTCAGAAAAACCAACGATGGACGAACTAAGTGGATCAAGAAAAAAAAATTTTCAACAAACGATTTGAAATCTTTAAAATCATTCGCATTCGCAAAAATATTTTAAATCGTAGATTTTAAGACATTGTTCACAAATGATTTAAAAATTGTTTGCGACCTAACTTTTTACTGAAAACACAACTTTAATTGACGAATGGTTTTACAATTTAACCGAAAAAAAAACAATTTACTGAACAAAGAATAACTTTGATAAGAAAATGAACAATTATTTAGTTAAGGAACAAATTCAACTCTTACTTAACGACTAAAAAAATGTGTCGTTAACGAATTTGATAGAACGGAACGCGCCCATCTCTAACTACTTTATAGTATTGTATTGGTGTAGATACAGGGACACCCTTACGTAATCTTATGGAATCTTCATTATAAACAGATTAACAATGGTTCTTCTTAAGAGGACTGTTCCGTAATTTCAAGTGATCCTCCAGATGTCAAATTTACAACTGTGCCCTTAAAACCATTGTCTGACCACACACGGTGCAGAAACTCGAGTTTTTTTTGTTGCAAATTTCAGAAGTGTTATTCTCTTCCTTTCTTTCTCATCAAATATTCTAAACAGTTTGACTATTTACTCATTCTTAAGTATTATTTATTTAAGCTGCATATTAACTGTAATTACTATTAAATATTCTGTAATATTAACAAAAATAAATATTTACAGATTTTCAGAGTTTAGTGTTAGACATTGATTAATATTCACTCCCTAGGGACTAGCAATTACATATCCATAGAGTAGATATATAGTAGATATACAGATATACATAGAGTAGAGATATAGTAGATATACAGCCACAGGGTTTACATAGTGTAGATATAAAGTAGATATACATGATATACATGGAGTAGAGATATAGTATACAGGGTAAACAATGATTAGAGATATAGTAGATATACAGCNCCCCCCATTCTCCAATCCCATTTCCCCCCTCTCCCAGTCTTTAACAATTTCCCTGGGATATTAATTACTACCAATGTTTATCTAACGAATTGATATTTTTAGATTTGATAATATCATCAATTTATCAACTCCATGTTGATATATCAAAACCTTATCTCACACTAAAACTAAAAAACTTTAGTCTTGACTTAGTGCTTTAGTCAAATTAATGTAAAGTATTTGTCTGGTGTGGTTTTAGGAAGAGCAAAATCTTAAAACAAAAACAAATGAGCTATAGGCAATAAAAAGAGATGAAAAAAACTAACCACTGTGGCTAGAACAGTAAAGCTTTCTGTAAACAAGGAAACTGAGCGCTTTGTTTAGGAAAGAATAATTGATCAAATACTGGGTACTGAGAACAGTGGCTAGGTTAGAATATATGTAAAGGAACTGAGTGCTGTGGCTAGGTTAGAATAGGTGTAAAGAACTCGAGTGCTGCTTCTAGGGCAGAATAGCTGTAAAGGAACTGACAACACTGGCTAGGTTAGAATATATGTAAAGGAACTGAGTGCTGTGGCTAGGTCAGAATAGGTGTAAAGAACTCGAGTGCTGCTTCTAGGACAGAATAGCTGTAAAGGAACTGAAAACACTGGCTAGGTTAGAATATATGTAAAGGAACTGAGTGCTGTGGCTAGGTTAGAATAGGTGTAAAGAACTCGAGTGCTGCTTCTAGGACAGAATAGCTGTAAAGGAACTGACATCACTGGCTAGGTTAGAATAAATGTAAAGGAACTGAGTGCTGTGGCCAGGTTAGATAAGGTGTAAAGAACTCGAGGCTGCTTCTAGGACAGAATAGCTGTAAAGGAACTGAGAACTGCAGTGGCTAGGTTAGAATATATGTAAAGGAACTGAGTGCTTCGGCTAGGATAGAATTGGTGTAAAGGAACTCGAGTGCTTCGGCTTGGATAGAATAGGTGTAAAGGAACTGAGTGCTTCGGCTTGGATAGAATAGGTGTAAAGGAACTGAGTGCTTCGGCTAGGATAGAATAGGTGTAAAGGAACTCGAGTGCTTCGACTAGGATAGAGTAGGTGTAAAGAATAAGTGTAAATGAACTGAGTTCTGCAGCTAGGGAAAAATAAATGTAAAAGAACTCGAATGCTGCGGCTAGGACAGAATAGCTGTAAAGGAACTGAGTGCTGTAGCTAGGTTAGAATAAATGTAAAGGAACTGAGTGCTGTGGCTAGGTTAGAATAAATGTAAAGGAACTGAGTGCTGTGGCTAGGATAGAATAGCTGTAAAGGAACTGAGTGCTGGGGCCAGGACAGAATAGTTGTAAAAGAACTGAGTGCTGTGGCTAGGTTAGAATAGCTATAAAGGAACTGAGTGCTGTGGCTAGGTTAGAATAGCTGTAAAGGAACTGAGTGCTGTGGCTAGGACAGAATACGCATGAAACTAAACGGGGTTTTGTGTAGATCTTAGTAGTTTTATAACAGCAAGTGATGTATAGAATAAATTCAAACACTTTCTACAGAAGAACTTCAAAATATTTAAATCTGAAGCAAGAAAATTTATAATTAAATCTTAAAATTTTGGAATAAAAGCTATCCCTGACATGGAGAGTAATCATTTAGAAAAAATGAACCAGGAAGATTAATTTGGGAACGAACTTATTTGCTTAAATTGTAATACTAAGCGGGCGTCTTATAAAACCAAAATCTTTGATTATTTTTGCATTATCAATTTTAGACAAAATGGCGGAGAGCGCAGAAACTGATGATTTTTTTGATTATTCACCTAGGTAAGGCGCTTGAATATTCACCTAGGTAAGGCGCTTGGATATTCACCTAGGTAAGGCGCTTGGATATTCAACTAGGTAAGGCGTTTGGATATTTCTAATTACGATGGTTTTTAATTTTAGCAATTCATATATCTACAGTGGGATTCATAAAACTGTGGAATAGAAAGACAACTTTAAGGCTTAGAGTTGTGATTTTAAGTAGTTCAATAAACATAAAACACAGTAATTGTCCTATAAAAAGTAATAAGTTGAATTTTGGGTGGCAAGCCTATTTAGCATAAAACACAATTCAATACATTATAAGATTGCTTAAATGTCGTCTTCTTATTTTACAGTTTTGTGGGTCTCATTGATGCAGAAATGTTTTGTAGTTATTAGTCGATGAACTGACATTTTTATAATACAAAAAAAAAACCAATTGATTATAAATCCTGCAAAACTTCTACCCCTAAATTGATTATTGTGATATTTCTAAAAGCCAATATTTATTTGTCCGCATCTGAGGCGCCGCAGAAACCCGACGTCAGAATTCATCAATTTTAAATAAAGGAATGGAATTAAGGTTTTGCCACAGAATCAAATTTTCTAATTCCTAGATCTTTGGAACATGAAGGTTAAACCTTTGATATTTTAAGCTTTGATTATTTGGTCTAACAGAACTCATAGTTCAAAGTATCTAAGGTCTACACACTTGATTGGAGTAGATATAGTGAAGAAATCAAGTTTTTTATTTTAGGCATGGAATGGAAGAGGAGCTGATACACAGAGCTAAGGTTTGATGGGGGTTCTCAACTATATTCCTATTTCAAGGGTGAAAAATGTCCTTTGTAGATACTTAGCAACTACTCCTTTGATAATGTTAAAGGGAGTGTTGATGTAGTTTCAAGTGACCCTCCGTTTGTCAATTGGTTGGTCCGATTAACAACATGTACCCTCTCAAACTTTGTTTGCTCAAGAATGCATGAACATTGCAAGTGACTCTCAGTAGTAGAGATGTCAACGATAGTGTAACGTAACGTAAAATGTAAGTTTTTGTACGTTACGTTACAATGATAGGAAACGTTTGGATATATTCTATGTAACGTGAACGTTAAACGTTGACGTTAAAGGATCTTATACCTAAGATAATCTTCATGGGATAATCTTCTCAAATTTCAAGTAACACTCCGTAGAGTGCACTTCGGATTCACAACAGGTACTCAGAACCTTTGCCTGTTATCAACAATGCAACAGATATCCATCATATTATCCTTGAAATTTGGTTAATTTCCATTGTGGATTTTCTATAAAGTGTATTGCGCATTTCTGCTTTAGAAACAATATGGAATAAAGTGTCAAAATTAAACACTTTCTTAGTTAAAAAAAAAATTTTCTTGTAAATCTTTAAATGTAAGTTCACTGGAAAATACAATGACAGTAATTTAAAAAAAAACTTTTGGAAATTAAGTTTTTACCTTTCAACATTTTGGAAGTTTTAGAAGGCTTTAGAGATATTAAGTTTGTTGCAGCATAATGATAATGATAATGTAGCAAGAAAATTTTTTCAATATTTGCCTAGGATGGGGAAAAGGCCTGGAAGAGACAACTGTTTGTTACTCTAGGGGCTTCCACAGGTACTAAACCAGAGAGGGAGGGAACACTCCAGTATGCAGAGTCCATTAGCGCCTGATCCAATCAGGGTTCAGTCATGTGTTTGTTGTCTATTCTGAACCAATAGAAAAAGTATGGCGGTAACATCTATCTTTCTATCTATCTCATTATCCAATCAAAGTTATGAATCCTTCAATTGGCGCTATCAGTAAATGGAAATATTTACTTCTACTGAAACTATGGTGTGAATTCTATATATATAGGGATAACCACAAAGTTTAAGACTTCAAAGACAATTTAGCTTTTTTCTTGAATTCCTGTCCCCCCCCCCTTCCTGGAATATTAAGAATCATAAATTTAAGGGTTGGGACTAGTATCGGCTCCTTTCAGTCTTTCTGCAACCATGATAAAAGTTAATAAAAAACAAGGATTTAATGCAAGGAAAGTTATTTCAGAAGTGTACGCATCTTTTGTATTGCAGTTTACTGTCACTGGGCGGTAATGTAAACACAAGACGGATGACACAGCCTGAAATGGGATCCATATTTCACATTAAGAAATTAATGAAATATTCTGGTCATAGGAAACTATTATGTGAATTATCAAAATTATTAAAATTTAATGCTATTAACCTCCTCGGATACTAAACGAACACTGATGCATCTATTTTTGTTTACAAATTCCGCCCAGAGAGAACTGGTTTCACTATGTACTCAGAGTATACGCGACAGCAATTAACTTCCCTTGCATTGGAACCTTGATAACAAAGATCAAATGAGACTCTTGACGCATGATGTATTAAAGGTTGAATTGGGACTATGTTATACTTCATGAAGTAATCAATGAGAATTTTGCTGATAACTTCCTGAAACTATACAGCTAAAAACCAAGTGGTTTAAAGTTCAATAAATACAAAAAAACTATTTGGTTTTTTGGTTCGTAGTGTTTTAATTGGACAAATTGGACAGAAATTTTCTCTATATCTCGAAGGTTTAAGTCTTTTTAGATTTAATTTTGTCTCGAGCTTCGTGCTATAATTATAGTATTATAGGTAATTTTGTGAAACGTTTGTGTACTTGCCTTGTCTTATTTCAATGGCTGTTTCTAGATCAAAGAAGATTTGAATCAAAGCAGAAGTCAAAATAAAAAGTTGATTTCAATTTTACTTTCATTTCAATAGAACAAAAAATATTTTTGAAATATCCTCAATTTTTTGGAGAAAATCCGGGAACCAATCAAACTTTTCTAGCACAATTGCTGTAATATATAGCTAATTTAACATTATAGCACGATGATTACTTTATAGCACGTTCATAATGAAATTCACGATGAAGTAAGTAATAATGATAAAGTACACAATAGTTTCATGAAAGTATAATTAAGTCCGTAATAGAAATTAGCGTTGTGATACTTTACATTTGGCGCAATCTTTTAAATTGATTAAATTATTTAAATTATTTAAATCTTTTAAATTGATTAAACTTTTCATAGCAGTCCATGCAGACTCTGCAGATCCATATGAAAACTGTAAAGACCTTATCATGCAATTGTAACAGTTTCATGTCAAACAACAACGATTTTCTTCGTTCATTTTTTGTTCGTTGACAGGATTTTCCGTTAATATGTAATACTTCCGTTTTCGTAAATGAATCTTTGACTAGCCGTACTCAGCAAACTGTGAAATAGAAAAAGTTATAACTTTAAAAAGTCCAATGAGCATTGAGCATGAGGTGCACAAGAACAACAGAGTAGCTAGAGTAAACGGATATTATTTCACTAAAGTATTCTTTTCCTAAGAATACTATTTGCTATGTAACAACATCTAATACAATTAAGTATTGCTATTACGTTATCTTCATCTTCCATTGTTTTCTGCTTATCATTATATTTTTCATGTAAAAGTTTTAACTTCATGTTCTTGTAAAACGAAAACTATAGATAAATAGATAAATCGTTTTGTGCGACGCACTGTATGGTTTAGGAAATTCCTATCCAGAGGTGGCTATGGGGCTCAGTAAGATCTACAGTTTCCAGGGGGTTTTCAGACCCAAACGGGTGCTGAGCCCCCATTAAAGAAACATAATTTAAGCCGCCTGGACAAATTCCTGAGTACGCTCCTTTCTTTTAAACTTTACAAATGTGTTTTATAAATCTAAATCTTTTTTATTACAAAGGAGGCCTGAGTATGGGTTTATGCTTGGGCTGGGTTTCACCCGCTATACAGCAATTCCAGGTAAATCAGGATTAAAAGTCGTCTTCCAGAAACTAGAAATGGATTTCATTCAATTAACACTATTCCTGCAGGGGGGGGGGGAATTTGAGACTTCCCCATCCCCTCTGTAGTTTTTTTTACATAACAGTCATACTTAATTGGTCTCTGACTGTTGAAACTTTCTGACTTTTCCTAAATACACATAGCCCTTTCTTTTGGTGTAAAACCGGGCTTTCTGTTGTGCTGGGTTAACATGTATCTTTAATCAAGTTGAATATATCAATGTTTATTAATCATTATTTAAATTTTTCCTTATTTTTAGAATGTGTCCAGTATAAACTCCACCAAACTTTCTGGAGGTAGATATCAAGGTTACAAAAAGTACTGAGAGTTTCAAAGAAGTTGTTACAGAGAAATGACAAAAGAAAAAAACGATATTAACTCCTTACAGGGAGTGTTCGCGATATTGACTCCTTCTTACAGCCTACAGGGAGTGTTCGCGAAAAATGAAAGAGAGATAAACGATCTGAGTGCAGGCCGGAATAATCCAACTCCGTATGGATCCTGCGTTCTTCGGTATGAGTAGTTTTTAATCCTTTTCTCCGACCTTATAGACGCAACAGATAGAAGTAAAATTAGCATCGATCGATATCAAATATAATTCGAAATCTGCAGCCTTCACCACTTTCATTTTTCGCTTACACTCCCTTTAAGTTTTAATACTTTTAAATTATCCACAAATTGGTTTAATAAATGTTATCAAAAAGTATGCATGAATTTGTCCAGGGATGGTGCTTAAACTTTAAACAGGGAAGAGGAGAGGGCTAAAACCCTGTAAAAAGCACAGTTTTTACTTCTCCAGGGGCATATCCCTCCAGTCCCATGTTTACGGATCTGGTGACAAAAAATTAAAAATGTATATATAAGCACTCGCGCAAAACTCGATAAGAATTTTTCCAATTACTTCTTATTTAACTGAAGCTAATAACCTTAGCTTTACAGGTTACAGGGCTAAAAAAAAGTATACTTGAGTTAGCGAGATAAAATCAAAACCCATGGTGTTGCGGCACTTCGAAGCCCATCCAGTCTTAAAAGTTGTCATGGCAGTTTTGATTTAAGTGCACTTCGAGTAGGAAATATAACGGATTCTGAAGCGGATTGGATAGGAGCCGCACTTCCCTTAGGAGCTATTCTTCAGGTCTTTATTACAGGTTGGTACAATTTACCATTAAGGATGAGACTAGAGACGACTGTCGGGAACGTATTCTGTTTGTTTTCTTATATCTTGTTTTTATTGTTTGTTACAAATGTTCGGTCACTATAATAATGTCTAATACACTGTACAGTTTCAAGTCTCATTCTTGGTGGGTCACCCTGTGTTGACCAATATGAACATAAACCCTTGATTACTCCAGGTATATTGATGGACTGCTTGGGAAGAAGATTAACTGTGATTCTATCCTCCCTGCCAATGTGTATAGGAGAGTTCAAAGTTCTTTGCTTAACCCTTTCATCGATTGGGGTAGGGGGGGACCCCCTTCCCCCTTGGGTTTTTATACATAACTTAGAACGCTAAAACTTCACTTTTAAACTTTATAGTTGTGAACAAATTTTGCTAAAAGTTTTTTTTCTTTGATGTATAGGGTAGTGTGTAGAACTGTCAAACGGCAAAAATGGTTAATAACTTTTTTATGAATTAAGCTTCAGAGCTTAAATTTAGGGGGTGGTGGAACCCTCCCCCCCCATCTATATTAGACAAAATAACCCAATTTGGATTAAGACTTGAAAAATTTGAATGAAGACGACAAAGATAAAAGTTGAAAATTGTGTGGAGCATTTTAATCTCTTGATTTTAAAGTATTTCCACGTGGTAAACTTTGAACAGGTTGGTTGTGTATCAGCCTTGCGGGTCAACTTTGGCAGATTTATATTGGTCGAATTCTCACAGGACAGTTTACAAATTGTAAAATGTATTAAAACCTTGATTAATAATCGAGTTGGTGTTTAACGAAACCGGAATAGTTTTCAAAATTATTTTAATAGAGACAAATATATACTTTTGCTTTTACTAGTAAAAACAATCTTATCCCATTGTATTTTACCTAAGACAGAACTAAGTATATGCACCCTGCATGAGTAGTGCAAACCCAGGGAATCGGGACTGGTTCATAGAAGACGACATTCATATATGGTATCTTGAAGGTTTCTAATGGGAAAGTATAAAATGGAAGTCAGTCGTTCCCAATTTAACCGCGTAATCATCGGAAATAAATCAGATTTACCGAGGTTGCGTGGTTTTCTTGGAACTATATTCCAGGGCTGCGTTGTTTTGGGAATACTCTCCATGTATTCATTAGGGGTAATTAGTCATAATTAGATAATTAGATATTACATAATTAACCAGAGACGAGATCTTTCGGTTCAGATAATGCCAGATATCTCCATATCATATCAATATCTCGAGACAAGGACATCAGATAGAACTAATATTGGTTGAGATCAACTCTTAAAACATACTGGCTTTTTATTTGAAACACAGTTCAAATGAATAATGGGTTTTACGTATAAGTTTACAAACATAGAATGATTTACAACGTACTGCAGGTTTACAGAATTTACAACATACTGCAGAATTACAGAATTTACAACGTACTGCAGGTTTACAGAATTTACAACGTACTGCAGGTTTACAGAATTTACAACGTACTGCAGGTTTACAGAAGTTACTCGATATTTGTTATACATGACTTTTCATTTACCGTATACCTTGGGATTGAGAAAAAATTAAATTTTTGAAATTGTCTTTTTTGAAATGTTGTGTCACTACAAATACTTGTAGATTTACGCAACAGAAACAAAAAGAAAATTGATAGAATTAAACATGTTTTAAGATAGAAAAACGAAGATATCTCGATTCTACCTTGATACTGTTGTTAATTTGACATGTCAGTCTCTAAATGAACTAAATAAAAAAAGTTTTCTGCTCTGGATAATCAATGGTTAATCAATCAATTGAGAAAAGATTTTATTATCTTCCTGGATAATCTTTTTCTGTTAATTAAACACTCACTTCTTTACAATATTCAATACCAGCTAGGAAACCCAGCTTTGCCTCGAGTTTTCCGAAAAAGTCAACCATCTCAATTTAGAAACTTAAAACCAAGCTGAGAACCTTCCTTTTGTTCTCCCGGGTTCCACAATCAAAATTTGAGGCCAATCGATCATGCGGTTCATGAGTTATGATCAAACATCCAAACAGAGATTACTATTTATATTCATCTATATATACTTTTCTTGTCTGCCTTTCTGTCTGGGTCTCTGTTTGTTTGTATCCGAAAAACGTCAAAACGGCTGAACTGATGGGGCCCAAATTTTTTGTTGTGGGACCTCAGGTGACCCCAGGGAAGGCTTTTGGATGATCAAATTTTCAAAAATTAAGTTGAACTTATTATTAATTTCAGATCTTCTTGTCTTGGGATGTTTTGGCATTTATTGCAGTTTTAGTGCCTATCTTCACTCTAATATTAGGTAATACAATTGTGAAGTTTAAAATAAAATCATTTTTTGATGTTTTTTTTTTTAAAGTAATGTATGGAATGTATGTGTTGTGTATGCTATGCAAGGGAACAATTTCCAAATTCAAGTTGATGTTGGAAAAATACTGTGTACCAAGGATGTAATGCAACGAAAGTTATTTTAGAAGTGTACGCATCTTTTGAACTGCAGTGTACTGACTCTGGACGGTAGTGTAAACACAAGATGGATGTCGAAATTTTATTAATACGTCCGTATTACTTGACCAGAAATTCCACCAATGGCAGTGCAGTAAAGTGGTCACGTGATACAGGCGGAGACACGTGACCAGTATACTGCTCTGCCATTGGTGATAGTTCTGGTCACGTGATTTAAGTTTCAGATTTTCAAAATTTTACATATATGAATTTTCGTATAATNTAAATATATCTAGATCAAGAGCTAAAGTGATTAGCTTTCAGCCTATACCCCCTTTCATTTTTCCTTTACAGTCCCTTTAAAGTCAATAAATTGTTATGTTATATTAATTGAGGTTTCAGGATTCTCGATCATAAAAATTAAGTAAATTCATTTTTTTTATTTACAATTTTGACATTTTTTTATTCAGCTATATTCCTTCTCCCTGATTCTCCAACCTGGTTGATTAGTGATGGAAGGATTGAATTTGCAACCGAGGTTACACTTTGGCTCAGGTAACAAGGTTACACTTTGGATCATGGACTGTGATAGTAAATTGACTACTGACCCTGGTAAACTAAGATAATGTGTGTTGATTGAATACAATAAGGTTTAAAAAATATCAACCTTTATCAGATCGCATCTAATTGTTTTGAAATTTTGTCTAAGGGATCGGGAGTTGGTTCTGCATGAAATTGAAGAATTGACAGAAACATCTCTTAGGAAAGATTTTTACAGCATTTTTCTGAAACTTTAAAACCTAAATATAAAAATATTTCTTCGCAGTACGTTAGATCTTTAAAGAATACCCTGCATCAAAAGTTTTGGTAAAATATATATTTTTTAAATTGCTAAAGAAAAACGGAAAAATTCCTGATAAGTTGAAAAAGGTGTAATCTCTTTATGGGTAGATTATTCCTTGACCAATAAGAGTTGGAATGTTGCCTCAAAACATCGAAACAGATGAAAATTGTTCCACCTTCTACAAAACTATATGTGTTACGCACTTTACTTTCCAGAAAAATTGGGTTTAAGATTTTCTTCTAGCTACATGAAACCCTCCTTCGCACCTGCAGGGTGTCCCAATAAACGCGGGAACTAAAAGACGACTTAAAAATCGATGGAAATTTTCGAGTGTATTAAAAGAATAAATAAATAAATAATCTGTGAAGATCTAAAGCGGTTTAAAAGTCGTCAATTAATAACTAGGACACCCTGCCTAATTATAAAATGAAACCCTGGTTCATTTTCTTTAAGTAAAATAAACCTCTGTAGAGCTGATGAATCCCCTTTTCCTTCTCCCCCCTCGTACTGTGATGCATCTAAGGAAACCCTGGACAATACTTTATTGAACTATTCAAATCATCTACAGGGTTACCCAAAAAGGATGAGATTTTTAGAGAATTTTTGTACGGAATTTTTTATAGTTATTTTTCTTACATCCCTGCTTTTAAAAACAGGCTTTTTAAATAAACCATCAAAAGCATAGATTAATTAAAATAACAGATAGAACAATAGATGTCGTCTTTTCAAGATTTAGGGGGTTTTTCGTTCAAAATAACCCTGAGTAAGAAGCCCAAAGGAGTTATGCGCATGCGGCATAAATAAGGCTCTCTCTCTGGACCATGCGCGTAACTCCTTTGGGCTTCTACCTCAGGGTTATTGTGAACGAGAAACCCAAAAACCTTGAAAAGGAGACATATAGTTTTCTATCTTAATCTTGTTAATTAGTCTAGATGATTAAAAGACTGTAATAAATATACAGATCAGGGTTACCCAAAAAGGATGAGATATTAGAGAATTTTTGTACGTAATTTTTTTAAGTTATTTTTCTTACAAACCTGCTTTTAAAAACAGGCTTTTTAAATAAACCATCAAAAGCATAGATTAATTAAAATAACAGATAGAACAATAGATGTCGTCTTTTCAAGATTTAGGGGATTTTTCGTTCAAAATAACCCTGAGTAAGAAGCCTAAAGGAGTTATGCGCATGCGGCATAAATAAGGCTCTCTCTCTGGACCATGCGCGTAACTCCTTTTAGCTTCTGCCTTTGGGTTATTGTGAACGAAAAACCCCATAATCTTGAAAAGACGACATACAGTTTTCTATCTTGTTAATTAGTCTAGATGATTAAAAGACTGTAATGAATACAGAAGTTAAAATTTAGCATTCAGATCGTCATATTTAAAAAGTTTTTAGTCTCATCTTTTGTGGGTAATCCAGTATCTGGTATCATTGTTTTGAGTACAATCATACGCCACTCAAAACGGCTAAATCATGTTTTTTGTACCCCACGTGATTTCAGGAAAGGTTTTGGTAGGCCAAAATTGAAAAATATTGCTGGTAAAAATGTTGATTTTCAAAATTTGTGTAATTCCATTAATTTCTAGTGTTATATGTAAGAAAAGCAACATTTTAACTAAAAAATCGTTTATTATTTTGAACCTTGCTAACGGATGATTAGAATAACAGAACACACAGGCCTAGTAAGTACCTAAACTTTATTGATAACTAGAAACTCAACATTCCTTTAAGTTTAAAACTATTAAAAAACTTTATTTCCTTTCATCGATGTTTCCCCGTTTATTTCGTTCTTCAATTTGTTGTTCAATTTGTTCTTCAATTTGTTAAAAATAACAAAAGATAGTTTTTGTTGCGTATCTGGTATGTAGCACACTGCAAGTTTGAAGTTACCCACAACGAATGAGACTTCAGAGACAACAGTACATAATTTATTATTTCATTAATAAATATGTTATTGAAATTCATTAAGGCGATTATGAATGTCGTCTTACATGCGATTTTATCAAATGTCGGATATAGATTTGGATCGTAGTTTCAATGAGCAAAAAAATAGTTAAAATGAGTAAAAAATAGTTCATATGAGCAAAACAAAAGTTTAAAAGAGAAAAAAATAGTTAAAATGAGCAAAAAATGTCATCAATTTTCAACGAGGATAAATTCCTAAAAAGTTAAGTGAGGGAGCTAAAACTTTTCTTTAAAACTACTCAATAACAAGCACCAATGCCCTTCAGGTCGGTTTCTTCTCTCATCCTCGCTTCGTTAACGATCGTTAACAAAGGGTTATTGTTAGCAAGATCGTTAATGAAGGGTTGTCATTTTTAAACGATTTTTTTAAAAAACGGTCGTTTCGTTCTTCGTTTTTTTGTCTTCATTTTCATAACGAATTGATCGTATTTCAATAAAAACGAAAACGATTCATCCCTGCCTGCAGCCGTAAAGATAAAAATGCAATTTAACCCTTTAAACGTTAATGTAGAAGAGTTTCAGGTCGTTAAAAGCTCATCCTTTATATCCTGTATATATTGTCTACGGGTTGAATCCAGACAAAGCCAGTTAGCTTGATATTCCTAATTATGTTGATAAACCAACTATGCGGAATCAGGTTAGTTAGGGTTTTAATGATAAACCAACTCTGAGGAATCAGTTCAGCTTGATATTCCTGGTTATGTTGATAAACCAACCATGCGGAATCAGGTTAGTTAGGGTTATAATGATAAACCAACTCTGAGGAATCAGTTCAGCTTGATATTCCTGGTTATGTTGATAGACCAACTATGCGGAATCAGGTTAGTTAGGGTTATAATGATAAACCAACTCTGAGGAATCGAGTCAGCTTGATATTCCTCGTTATGTTGATAAACAAGCTATGCGGAATCAGGTTAGTTAGGGTTATAATGATAAACCAACTCTCCGGAATCAGGTCAGCTTGAAATTCTTGGTTGTGATGATAAACCAACTCTGAGGAATCGGGTCAGCTTGATATTCCAGGTTATGATGATAAACTCTGAGGAATCAGGTCAGCTTGATATTCCAGGATATGATGATAAACTCTGCGGAATCAGGTTAACCTGATATTCCTGGTTATGATGATAAACAGGAATCAGGTCAGTACAAACTCAAAAGCCTTTCATAATATGACTGCGAACCATGATGTGCACGCTCTCACGCGTAAACAGTATTTTGCTAATTACTCCATTTAAACTAAACTAGAAACAAGCTTGTGGCAATGTTAAAATATGCAAAGAGCTACAAAAACGTAAAAGTGGTTGGTTAGATCTCAGTGAAATCCAATCAACTTTTCAAACATATCATTAAAGCATGAAATATTTTTTTAAATACATAATTTCTATTCGTTTTTAGTGTTGTTGAAACGTTTTTCCATGGTATATTCAACTGGAATGATACAGTTCTTCCTGCTTCTCTTTCTTCATCTATTGTCGGAGTTTGTATGCTTGTGTCCACGCTTATAGCAGGTATAAAGAGGTGTGCATAGTATCTACACTTATAGCAGGTATAAAGATGTTTGAATAGTATCTACACTTATGGCAGGTATAAAGAGGTGTGTATGCTTGTATCCACACTTATAGCAGGTATAAAGAGGTTTGTATAGTATCTACTCTTATAGCAGTCATAAGGAGGTTTGTATAGTATCTACATTTATAGCAGGTATAAAGAGGTTTGTATGCTTGTATCCACACTTATAACAGGTATAAAGAGGTTTGCATAGTATCTACACTTATAGCAGGTATAAAGAGGTTTGCATGCTTGTATCCACACTTATATAAGGTATAAAGAGGTGTGCATGCTTGTATCCACACTTATAGCAGGTAAAAAGAGGTTTGTATGCTTGTATCTACACTTATAGCAGAAATAAAGAGGTTTGTATGCTTGTATCTACACTTATAGCAGATATAAAGAGGTTTGTATGCTTGTATCTAGACTTATAGCAGACACTTATAGCAGGTGGAAAGAGGTTTGTATAGTATCCACACTTATAACAGGTATAAGGAGGTATGTATAGTATCTACATTTATAGCCGGTGTAAAGAGGTTTGTATGCTTGTATCCACACTTATAGCAGGTATAAAGAGGTTTGCATAGTATCTACACTTATAGCAGGTATAAAGAGGTTTGCATGCTTGTATCCACACTTATAGCAGGTATAAAGAGGTTTGTATGCTTGTATCTACACTTATAGCAGAAATAAAGAGGTTTGTATGCTTGTATCTACACTTATAGCAGATATAAAGAGGTTTGTATGCTTGTATCTA